CTTCAAATTACCCAATGTGCCCCAACTACTATCTTTATTTTAACATCTAAGCTCTTCACAAATATTATCAAATTCCTTCTTTCTCCAATTAAAAAGAAAATCAAGTAGGAAGGGTTACAAGATTTAATAAAAATCATGCAGGGAGCAGAATGCTAGAAAAATCCCTATTCAGTGACTTGGCCGTGAGACCAAATGTATCAACACTCGAGTTCCCTCTGGTTTAAGAAATCCTGCTGCTTCTGCCTTTATCTTTGTCTGTGCCTGCAAGCTCTTCAGTTCCTCACCAGCACATTTATTATTTTAGCAAAAGGTAAACATCTCCAAATGTCAAGAACTGCACTTATTTTAGCAGCCCGTAGTCATGACTGCTGTCCATGATTAATTGGATATCAAGGGGGGAAAAGGCTTCTATACACTTGTGGCATATGGGTATCGTGTTCCAATGTTAATACTTGAAATAAAAACCAAAAAGAACACTGTGCTGAAAATGTGTTATCTAATACTACAACATTACAAGATTGTCAAGTTTGGGCATAGGGCTTCAACTGGGGCCAGCCCACTGAACAAAACAAGCAAAGCAAAAGTAAGTGGAATACTCGGAAATGTTAGGGCAATTAATACTTTTTCTGCTGAACTAATATGGACAGTGAAGACAAGCCATATTTGAAATTTCACATGATATTACATGTATAGGTGGGAAGGGAATATTTTTAAAGGCTTTTAGGTTGGATATTTCTGCTTCCCAGGCTGTTGAAAATGTGGAAGATTTTAAGTTCTTTTTTTTTTTTTTTTCTTTTTTAGTAGGAATGCAAAAACGGAAACTTCCAAAGGGCAAAGCAAAAGCTTACCTGGTGTCGTTTCCCCAGCGCGCTGCGAAGGCTGCTGGCACAGCAGTGATTTGCAGCAAACCAGTGCTGTGTCCCCTGGCTCTGAGATTTGAGTCACAGATACTATTAAAACCTGTCGTTCTCCAGCTGGGACAGAGCCGTCGCACTGATTGTGGGAAGATCATCCTCTGCCTGTGGAGAGGCTAGCACAAATCAAAGTCAACATCTGTCCACAGATGATCTTGACCTGCTTTCCACCCCGTGTGCCACGTGCCGCTGTTTGGCACGCGCTGGGCTGAACGCGATGGTGCAGATCAGAGCAGTGATCCAGACTGCTGTAGCTAAGGTAGGAAAATCCTCTAGGTGGCAATAGGAAACAAATTTGTTGGGGTTTTCCCTGGCTGGTTGCTAACTTCACTTGGTGCTTTACTGCTCCTGGCACTGAGCTGCTTGCACAGGCTGCAAGGAGCATTCAGCAGCAGCTTCTGTATCTGTGCCCTTAGAAAAGCTGTGCACTCCAAGGCACTATGATGCAAGGGAATTATTATGGCTTGTTCAGGGACTACATTTCTTTTTAACAGTAATCGTGGGATTGCCCTGGCTGCATAAATTACCAGTGATGCCTCGTGTGCTTCAGTTCAAGTTGCAGAAGAGGAGCACGTTTGACTCATGCTCATTCTCTTAGGGCACCTTCCTTTTGTTCTCCTTTAATAGAGAAAATACTTCATGGTGTTTTCCAGCAGAATGAGCTGGGGGATAGAGCTTTGTGCAAGTGAAGAACACTGTTGTGGACTGACCACTTTGTCAGGGTGAAACTTGTTTTAATCACTTTAACAGGATTGGAACTCTGTAAAGTAATTGTAGAAGATGTTTAGTGCTATTAAGAGGACTAGTATAAAGCCTGTACGCTATTTAAAATTTCTTTTAAATCCTCAAAAGGGAGTTTACGTGCAACTGAAGTGGTGCATAAATTACATTCATGGCCATTATCTGTACAGCGTTGAGTTTTATTTAGAATTACCTTTTTTCAAAAAGAAGGTTTTTTTTTTTTTTTGAGATGGCCCTCGTTCTGTCTTTCATTCTTTCCTTCATGGCAGCGTATACTGTGCACAAATACATTATTTTGCATAGAATCTCTCTCTATTTGCATAATATTCCATAAGCAGCGGGTCTGTTTTCCCCTGACGCCCACTCCAGGCGTTCGGAGTGTTTCCATCTCATACCTAACTGTTCTGTGCACGGCTCTATTCATTCCCCAGCCTTTCTACCCACCCACTCGCTCCTCGGCCTCAATCCCCCGCTCGCTCACGCGGTGCCTTCACCTCTTTGCTCTGCATTTGCCACGCAGCCCCTGGTTGCAGCTCCTCGGAGCGGCTCCCTCCGCAGCTCCCCCTGCCTCTGGCCCTTTTTTTGGCAGGGGCAGGATGCTGCTGCGTGGGAGGTGTTGGGGAGGGCCGGCAGCAGAGGTAAGGAGGTCCAAGGATGTATGTGCCCATTGAAAATGGGGGGGAAAAGGTACATGAAGAGGCCTGGAAAGGGAAGGGTAGGACGTTGTACGGGCAAGCGGCAGGTGAGGAGCCCTGGGAAACCCCATGAGCAGAGTTCAGGCTCACGACAAACATCTCTTGGAGCTGGAGCAGCTCCGAGGTGCCCCGCGGCCTCGTGCAGGCCCTTCCAGGGGGAGGAAAGGAACTAGAGCCTCCAGCCTTCAACGCTGTCACCCACTGCTTGTGCTTGGGGGATACAGAAATGCAAACTGCCCCCCCAAGGGCTTTTCATCCTCCTTGGCCCCTTTTCATTCCTCCCAAAACATGGCATTTCCTCTGGTCTGAGTGCCAGCCATCCCAGCAAGGTTAGACTCCGGCACTCTCCATTTTCTAATTCAATTTTAAGCCGCTAGGTACAGCCGTGGATTGATGCATAGTTTTCAGTATGCTTTAAACTTACCTGTACATCAGTCAGTTTTGATTATTCATGCTCCTGATCCCCAGGGGCTGTAACTCCGGTTTCACCTACACCCAATGCTAAATGCAAAGTGCTTTGACACTCAGGAGCTCTAATTTCCCTATCAAGACATCTGCCCTTGCTGAAAGGGAAAGTAGCTTTAACATAAGGCGTTTATTTAGGGAACTGCTTGCCTGTTTCAATGATTGTTATATGCCCAGGCAGGGCTTTATTTGGGAGAAGGTTGGTGGCACAAGCAGCATCACTTCTGTAGAGAAGTGTAAACCACAGCAAGGTGATACAGAGGTGCTGTTAAGTAGCCTGATTTAGGGAAGGGGAGGAAAATACTCTGTTTTGGCAGCAGAATAAACAAGTCTAAGCAAATGTTCCACCTCTTTGCCAGAGGTTTCCCTTTCTCTTAAAGGCACTTTTTGAGGATAGGTCTAACCAGTCAGACCTGGCAGTGGAGGCAGAGGACACCCTTCAAGCACTGCAAGCATTCTTAACTGACATAACTGATGGGAATAGATGAACTGAACCTTGCTTCTGTAGCCACAGGCCAAGTTTGGGTTTTAAAATGTATCATCTTTTGCAGAAGTGCTGAATGCTCACGAAATAAAGCAGAGGTAAGAAGTGTTTCCTCCGAGTTGTACAGAATATATGACTGGACAAAGCATGTCTGAACTGATAGGCCAGATTAGTTTGTAAAACACCTTAATTGGTTGTGGCAGTGAAATAGATGCAAATAAAATGCAGTTCCAGAGAAGGCAGGTATCTAACAAAAATCCAAACGAGCAGCCATTGCTTTTGCAAGTGTTACACACCCTGTATATAATGCTCCAATACTGGATTTTATGTATAAAACAAGATCCCTGGGTAGCTCTTGCAGAGCATCCACGTCATCTTCTTTTGTTGCCATTAGGATAGAAGTACAGTTTTAGGAAGCAGTTATGCAGCAGGTTGAGCAAACACTGCAGTTCTGTGTGTGAACGTTGAGCTTCTGTCAGCACAGCAGATAAGCTCAGTACTATTGCAGCAAAAGTTAATAAAGTGCACACATGAGCCCCATTTTATTTTTGAATACTGACAGGGGAAAGATTACATTTGTTCATCATAAAATGGAATATTCCTTCAGATTAATTCTCGATGCGGGATGGGTTTTCTACTACATACATGTGCGTGTGAGTTTTCTACAAGCTTTAAATAAATTCATGATCCTGGTCATCCCTTCATAGTACTTCAAGGCTGGGATCCTGGTCTCTGGACACAGCAGGAAACCCAACATATTCAAGCTCCTGGAGTGTTTTATAATGAATGTGGAATAAATACATGCATCAAATCATGCCTTTTCTTTGGACCAACTTCCCTCCTTCAAGATACAAAAAGCCACTAAATGTACTACTTTTGTATCTGGGACCCTTCGTAAAAATGTTTATTTAGCATAGGCACAAAAAATAATTTACGAGATAAATTAGAATGGATTTTTAGAGTGGCTTTTGAACGTTTCTGGTTTGGATCTGTCAATAAGGGACTTTAAAGTATGATGTGGAGCCACCGTTAGTGAGAAGAGCTTTGAGAGCGTTCACAGTGCACTGCAGTGTGACAAGGACCTGCCGGCCCTTCGTGTCAGCTCTGCTAACTGATCTGTCCTGGGGGATTAGGGAGCTGGGGGCTTGGCTGACTCCCTGCTCCCAAAACGTTTTTCAGATTTGGTTCCAGTTCAGTTTCGGCTTGGAAAACTTCCTCTACTTGGAAAAATTTGAGTGGAATTCACTCTTACAACTTAGTATCTGCAAAAATCCTGGACAAATTGCTTAGGCAATTACTAACGAATATTTGACTTTTTGTCTGTCTCATTGCTTTTAACAGCCAGATAGAAAGTTTTGTTATATGAGAAAGGCCCAGAACCTTCTGAGAAAGCCTCCTGTGGACAGTGGCCAAGCAGCACTGCAGCTTACTCCTCTCCTTTGCATTTGAGAGACTGTCTTCTACTTGAGAGAGATTTGGGTAACAAACAACTAGCTCGGGCCCCAGGAGATACATAAGAAGCTGCAAGGAAATACGTTTCTGTCTCAGCTTGTGGTGTGATGCAGTGCACGTGATTCTGATGTGTGGTTGCATCAAATGCTGTGGTTGCACAGCATTTTGGAGATACTAGGAGATCCCTCCTCAACCCCCAAATGA